GTTGCTATTTGTACAAACAAAATAGAAATTTCTAGAAAAATAGAATTTGAAAGCAACGGGTTTCCACAGGTATCTCGCAAGCGTAAAACACATCGGCACATAACCCGTAGTTTTAACCAAAAGAGAAAAAATGATACACGAGTATCCAAATGAAAATACCTTATCTCACTATTTATACACTGAGCGAAAAAATCAAAGTTGAAATCGGCGGAGCACTTTTCAATCAGGAGCAAAAACCTTCAATATGATATCGCTCTCGATGCCCTACGAACTTCCCATGAATTATCTGATATCGTGGTGAGACAACCCAAGCTAGGCCTTTGTTGCTTCTCAATCCAAGAAACGCTACTAAAATTCCCTAGTTATTGTCAATATCCATGAAAACATACTGTTTGTTAAGCTCTAGGCTCTTATATGTATCCCATAAAACACACGCAAAAAAGAATCATCTCGACAAAGACAAAAATTTTCTGTAGCTGGCTCAATATTTCCAATTAAACCATTAAAAAGAAGCTTGAAATTAATTTTCGACTTAAATGCAAACATAGCCAAGAGACAGCTAGAAAAAAGACAAGAAACCTAAGAAAACAAAAAAAACTGACCTGTCATGTAAAAAACATCCGAAGTCGAATTTCGAAAAAAAAATACAGAGGCGAAGCGGAGCTTCGTTCGTACCACTTGCGATACAGCAGAAAAATAAAAACAAAATCAGAAAGAAACTGAAAAAAATTCATGATCATTGACTCGCTTCTAAAAAAGCTCATCTAGTGGCATTGTTGTTATAATCACAATCTGTAGCCTTGACTTTTTCATAGCAGCATTTAAAGTTTTTCGGCTGAAAGTTTTGGAGCATTTTGCCTCGTTAGCAGTGTCATGATGCGTCATTTGTGTCTTTTTCATCATGAAACTGCTAAAGAGACAAAATGCTCCAAAACTTTCCTCCGAAAAACTTTAAATGCTGCTTTGAATTTGTCAAGGCTACAGATCGTGATTATAGCAAAAGTGCCACTAGATGAGCACTTTTAGAAGCGAGTTAGGTTTTAACTCTCGATGCACTACAAGTTTCCATGAATTATCTGATTTAGTGGTACAACGACCCCAGCTAGGCCTTCGTTTCTTCTCATTCCATGAAATGCTACTGAAAATTCAATATTTCTTGTCCAGATCTATCAAAGTACATGGTTTTTTAAGCTCTAGGTTCTTATAGGTATGCAAGAACACATACACACACACACAAAAGAATCATCTCGAGTTAGACAGACAGTTAGAAAAGTGTCAATGAACGCGAAGAAACAAAACACTGACTTAATTTGAAAAACTTCACTTTCGAATTTCAAAAATATAAAAAGATGCAAAACGCTTTTTTAATTCAAGAAAAAAATTACGAATGACTTTTTTTCGATTAACCAGCTCAATTTGAGATAACTTGATTAATTGGTAAATTATTTGTCCAGCTGCTAAATCTGAAAATTAAAGTCCTTTTTGGAAAGTAGAAATCGATCATTTCCATTTTGCTGTTTGGTAATGGATTTTACCTTCTTTTAACAAAGAAAATGAACTAAAAATATGAAGTAACCAAAAGTCAAATTTCTAGACACCAACTTTGAGCTGGAACAAAATTTCGGACTTTTTCATCTAACAAAAACTCATGATCTATTAAGAGTCTCAATTACATTTATTGAACCTTATAAAAAATTACATAAAAATATACAATGAGTTGATATCTGTACAACCAATCTATAAAAATTTCAAGAGAAGGGGTATTTGAAGGCGACATGTTTTTACAGGTATCTCGCAAGCGTAAAAAAAATCGGTAAATAACCCGTAATTTCAACGGAAAGACAAAAAAACGATAAACATTATCCAAATGAAACAAAAAAATTATCTCATTACTTATACAAAGAGCAAAAAATCAAAAATGTTGACTACGGCTGAGCACTTTTCAATCAGTAGTGAACACCTTCAATATGATACTACTCTCGATGCCGTACGAACTTCCAATGAATTATCTGATATCGCGATGAAACTACCCAAGCTAGGCCTTTGTTTCTTCTAATTCCATGAAGCGCTGCTGAAATTCCCTATTTCTTGTCCATATCTATCAAAACATACAGTGTGTTAAGATCTAGGCTCTTATACGTATCCCAGAAAACACACACAAAAAATTGCTATGTCGGCGTGGACACAAATTTTAGGTAAATGGCTCAACATTTCCTTGTAAACCATAAAAAAAGCTCGAAAAAAAAATCTTCGACTAAAATGCGAACATAGCCAAACTACAGTTGGAAAAGAGTCAAGAAACCTATGGAAACAAAAGAAAAACCGACCTGTCATCTAGAAAACTTTGAAACTCGAATTTCAAAAGAATTATACAGAGGCGAAGCGGAGCTTCAGACCACTTGCGATACAGCACAAAAACAAAAAAAAATGAAAAACGTTGAAGAAAGCAAGAACTAAAAATTTGATAATTCAAACAGTTAATTTCATTAAAGCTCAAGAACTCATCTTGTAATTGAAATTAATATAAAGCAAGCAATTTATTTTAAAAAAAAACATCCGGCAAGTAAGCCGACAAAAGTTGAGACGAAATCCATGAAGCCGACAAATTAATCAATTTACTTCGGAAAAACATTCCCAGTAATCAACATTGCACCCAGGAGTTAAGCATGTCAGCAGGCATGAGCATTTCAGCAATTGATTCATCTGATTTTGTTAGACTAGTTGTTAACCCGAAAAAAGTCAACATTCTGATTTCAAAACGCTTGCTAATCGCAAGCGTAATAAATGGATTGAAAGCTTTTTTAATTTCAGCAAAAAAAACTATGTTTGTTTTTTTTTCTCAAAAAAGCTACTTAATTTCAGATAAATGGAACAGATAAATTATTAATTTAGCTGGTGAATCTGAAAATTAAAACCCTTTTTCGAAAGTCCATCAGTTTTTCTTGACCTTTACCCTTTTCCTGTTCGATAGTGGATTTTGCGTTCCTTTTAGGAAAAGAAATGAAATTATAAAGAAATCAAAAATCAAACCGCTAGAAATCAAACTTTAGCATGAACAAATCTTCGGACTTTTCATGTAAAAAAATCTAGACCTATATAAGAGTCTCAACTACTTTCCTTGAAACTTGAACAAATTTTGAAAAGAAAACAAATTAAAAGTTGATATTTATGCAAGCAAGATTTTAAAAAAACTTCTGTAGAATGGGCATTTAAAAGCAACCGCTATTTACAGGTAGCTCTCAAGAGTTAAAAAAAATCGGCAAACCCTTCAACCGAAAAACAAAAAACGATCCAAATAAACAATTTTTCTCACTATTTAAACAATGGGCGAAACTCCAAACACGTTGAAGCCGGCTGAGCACTTCTTAATCAGGCAGGAGTAAAAAAAACTTCAATCTTAAATCACTCTCGATGCCGTACGAGTTTTCCATAAATTATCTGATATCGTCGTGAAACGACCCAGGCTAGGCCTTTGTTTCTACTCATTCCATGAAATGCTGCTTAAATTCCCTTTTTCTTGTCCCTATCCATCAAAACATACTGTTTATTAAGATCTAGGCTTTTTTACGTATCCCAGAAAACACACACAAAAAAGCAAAAGAATCTTTACGGGCACAATTTTTCCGTAACTTGCTCAACATTTCCATCTAAACCATAAAAAAAGAACCAGCTGAAATTTTATTTCCGATTAAAACTGCGAACATAGCCAAAAGACAGTTAGAAAAGAGTCAAGAAACCTAAGCAAACAAAAGAAGAACTGACCTGTCATTGAAAAAACTTCCAAACTCGAATTTCAAAAAAAATACAGAGGCGAAGCGGTGCTTCGTACCACTTGCGATACAGCGCAAAAACTAAAAACAAAATAAAAAGAAAGAAAATGACAAATGTTGAAAAAACAAGGCACAAATGAAGCATCATGAGACTGCTAATGAGGGAAAATGCTCCAAAACTTTCAGCCGAAAAACTTTAAATGCTGCTTTGAAATTGTCAAGGCTACAGATCGTAATTATAGCAAAAACTCCACCAAATGAGCACTTTTAGAAGTGAATTAGGTTGAAACTCTCGTTTCCCCACAAGTTTTCCATGAAGAACCTGATTTAGTGGTACAACGACCCCGGCTAGGCCTTTGTTTCTTCTCATTTCATTTTGAGAATTTGTCCAGATCCACCAAAAAATACTGCTTGTTAAGCTGTGGGTTCTTATAGTTATGCGAGAACACACACACATAACATACACACATACACACACACACAAACAAACACACACACACACACACACACAAAGAATCAGCTCGGCTTACACAAAAAAAATTAAATGACTGGCTCAATATTTCAATTTAAGACTTAACCTTAAAAAAACAGTAGGACACACAATTAATTTCTCAAAATAAACAAGCTTAACATTTAATTTCGGCTAAAATTGCTAACCTAGCCAACAGTCAGTTAGAAAAGAGCGAATGAACGCAAGAAGCAAAAGAAAAAGTGACTTGTTATTTGAAAAAAATCCCAGCTTTCGAATTTCAAAAAATATGTAAATGGATTTGAAACATTTCTACTTTCAGCAAATCATCAAGCCGCACAAATTATCCAACAAACAATTATTGAATTGTTTTTCTGGTATTCTAACCCGATACCTGTGCAGTAGAAAACATGAGGGACGCCTGCACGCCAACTGGGCAAAAACTATAGTCTAATTGGCTTCCACGTAAGTTAAATGAATTAAATATTTATTTGAGACGTTTAGTTAGCAAGAACGAGATAATAGTTGTATTCCTCTATCAGAAAGAAGGTTTCGATAAAACTCCGCTGGGATTCGAACCAACGGCCGCTGGAGCGACAGGCTTTAAACACATATTATAAGGATCCGGCCTATCCATGATGACATTTAAACCAAAATGAAAAAATAATTCTTCCATAAGCTGCATTATACTTTATTCAAATCTGAAAACAGGATAACACTTCGTTTAATTCAGTGAATACGTAAGAATCAAATTTACTCACCTGGCCGGATTCCAAGTTCATTATCTAAAAATCTAATAAGTAATAAATGTGAACAAATTTTATTTCAACAGACGTTCTAAGGGAATACAGAAATTCAGTTTATTATTTTATATTTGTTTGCTAAGCCCATACATTCAGTTTGTCTACAATGCCATTTAATACAATGTGATGGCAATGCCGTAAAATACTAGCTATTTCCAACCACGGAGTATATGCAGAATGCGTACTAAAATACAAATCCGTCTATTATATACCAACAACGGTTTACCCTTGTAGAAACAGTGTAATATGGTGAATAAAAACTGTGCAGATTCGCATATACCACCGACTGAATAGTAGCTTCATGTGAAGTAAATCCGCAAAGCAAACAAATCTGACGTCAGAGTTCAATTTCTAACCAATCAAAAATAAGTATCTAAAATAAGACATTGTAAAAAAATCACCTACGCACGTTTTCACGTTGAAAACATGAGGAACTAGCAAGCGAGCAAAATGTAGAACTAAAAAATAGAGCAGATAATGATACAGTTACTGTTTTAGTATGCCTGTAGATGAGGCTGTCCTATTTTTTCCTTAAAGCATATATATGTGGAATTTTAAACACAGCGGCGAAGCTGAGCTTCGCACCACTTGCGATACAAAACAAAAAAAAACCCTTAAACTAAAAAAAATCGAAAAAACAAGATCTATCAAGATTAACTATTAAGTCACACTCACCCTCAAAACACAAACACGCATCAATTTCTTTGTTTTCAAATGCAACAATAATGCGATAAAATTTAGGCCGAAACGTATTAAACCGAAAAAAAACTTGGAAAAAAGCCCGGAAAAAAATTATGTAAAAAAAGATATTAGGTCCCCTTGCCCTCAAAACACACTAACATTTTCGCTTGACGAAAGACGCAACATGAGGCACTTGAGCCGATTTTGTTAAGGCGGAAACCTATCAAGAGGAACAAAAAAGAAAAGAAAACAAAAAAGCTGAAAAAAATTGTTGTCATAACCCTAAAAATTCTTTTAAAACCTTTAGCATTAAGTGCGATCCATAGAGGAACATCAAATGTGCTCTCCTTGAAACTACTCACAAATAGGTCACTAAGCCAATAAAAAGAAGAAACTGTTTAGGCAGAAGTTTTTAAGCGGAAAAAAAAACATAAAAAAAGACACACAAGTCAAAGTTAGTTAAATTACAAATAGCAGAAAAAATCATAACACTGAAAGCAACTACAAAATAACTAGCGTACAGCCAAATAAAAACAACTCTATGATGTGAAAACTAATCCGAGAAAAACGTATGCAGGCAAATCAAAAGCCAACATTTTTAAAAAAGGAATACTTACCGTTTGAAAAAAAAAACAGGTCCTATGATATTGTTATTATCTTGCAGCTATTTTTAATATTTTAACTTGTTGTTAGGAAGAAATTATTAATTATCACGGTCTTGTTTTCTCCGTTTTATTTTCTGCAAGGTAAATTAATATTCTGCGCTAAAGAATATATATTTGTTAGCTCCGCAATACGGTGATGATGTTTTTCAATCAATCAGGGCTTTTGCAGGGGTTTTATTTATCAAAAACTTTTTAAAAGTATTTTAAACAAAGAAACCTTAGGTTGCTGATACTCCGCGAATTTTGAGAAAACTGAAGCCGTCATGCTTCGGATTCGAACCGGGGTCTATGTCTTGTTGAGCGCGTACATTGTCCGCTAGGCTATGGGGGCGAGGAGCTCGGACTTTTTCCAAAAAATCTTGTTTTTTGTTTTGTGCCTGGTTTTCAAGAGTGTTTCTGGTGTATGGAAGAAGAAAGTTTCATGTGGGAATCGAATCTTGGTGTTTGTTGTGTGGGGCGAAAGTCTAAGCCGCTCGGCCATGAGGGATATCTTGATCTATCCTTTAATTGAAAGCAATTTATGCTTTTGCCTGGCTTGCTTACTTTTAGCTGACACTATTTTGTGGGACTAAGTAACAAATGTTAGTGTTACAATTGTAGAATGCAATATAAATTTATAAAAACACACATCAAAATGACGGTTTTAACGGAGTTTTTCTCTCTTTTTTTACTGTTCACTCTCGTAGACTATAGAGACTATAACCGGAGTCACTGACAGCGGGAGGTGATCCAAACTGACTTCTCTGCTGAGTGCCGCAATAATAGTTTTCCCGGTTCCACCAACCGGCGTGTTTTCGGTGGTTCTGATAATGGAGGGGTCTTGCGTTAGATTTGGTTAATTGCCAGTTGAATATCAAAAATTATGGGCGTTTGTTGTAATTACTATACCGAAATCAAAGAGTTTATATGGATTAAAAAAGGAGTGTGGGGTTGGTGATGAGAAACAAAGGTACAAACGCGTATTATAAATACTTGAGATTTTCGGTTGATGGTTCCGATGGGCTGTTAATCCGAGCCGGTTGGCCATGAGGGATATCTTGATCTATCCTTTAATTGAATACTTGAGGTTTTCGGTTGATGGTTCCGATGGGCTGTTAATCCGAGCCGGTTGGCCATGAGGGATATCTTGATCTATCCTTTAATTGAATACTTGAGGTTTTCGGTTGATGGTTCCGATGGGCTGTTAATCCGAGCCGCTAGGCCATGAGGGATATCTTGATCAATCCTTTAATTGAAAGCAATTAATGCTTTTGCCTGGCCTGCTTACTTTTAGCTGACACTATTTTGTGGGACTAAGTAACAAATGTTAGTGTTACAATTGTAGAATGCAATATAAATTTATAAAAACACACATCAAAATGACGGTTTTAACGGAGTTTTTCTCTCTTTTTTTTACTGTTCACGCCCCTTTGCGTCATAAAATGAGCCACAGAAAAAACTGGTGCTCCAGAAATCCAGTTCTGCCAGATTTGCCAATTCTGTCACTCTTACAATCTCAGACACTCACTTCGTAAGCAAAACCAAAAAAGTACCGAGCTGCGCCCGGCTAATGAAAGAGTGAAACTTAGAGGCTGACCTGCCTCTTCCACTTATCCACGATTTGAAACATACAGAAGATTCGCGCACAGCCTTGGACTCCAAGTGATCCACAGCATCAGAGAATTTTTTTTTTGCTCATGTTTTTCAGCCCATAACTTTGCAAACATATTTTTGTAATCATTCTCCTCAAAAATTTTCAGAGCGTGACCGCAAAGCGCAGGCTAGCAGAAAAAGTTAGTCGCTGAAGGGATGAGGAAAAACATGCTATCTGCGAGACGTTCAGGACCTTGCCTCACCGGATCAATGAAAAATCGAGGACAAGTAAGCAACTTTGACAAACGCTTCGTAGCATTTCCACGCTGACGCATCACAAAAACTTTCCTCCTAACGGCGCCTGGGAAACACTACCGTCCCCACCCACTTCGACATGAGCCTGCCTCCACCAAGCCCCCCTTGCAGTATTCCATCAAAAAGAGTTGCTGCCGGGGAGCTCGCACTTCAAATATTCTCGAATATTAAACTTCCAACCATGTGATGTTCCGTTCATTTCACTGTGCGGTGAAATTTCAAGTGTTTGGGCAATGCGTTAATAAAAACGTAAAGCCTTGTTTGCACTCGACAAACTGTAACTCTTTCAAAAATCCGGGACGAAAAGTTAGCAACTCCTCCAACTCAACTGATAAAGGCGTAACGCGCTATCCGTTTTCCCGAACAAGCTCACCCCGCCTCTCACTTAGTAACTTTACTCGCAAGGAAGTCCAATCCTTTAATCCCTGGCCGTCGACAGAATCCACTTCTTTCCACTCCAATTCCAGCAAGCGCGATTTTTCGAAGAACTTGACATGGAACTTCCCTATCTCCTCTTGCAAATCACATGTGCCGCGGGGCACTCTGGAACAGAGTGTCTGGAACAAGACACTCTGGACACTTCGTTAAAATTTCATTTTATGAAGCGAAGGGGCGTCAGTGAAGTTTATCGAAATTAAATAATGAGGATAAAAGGGCTATAGATTCTAGCCATAGGGACTACCCATCTCGAAAATTCTCAGCACTGGTTTTAGGCAGCATTTTGCGCAGGCAGAAGACAATTTTTTTGAACTGCTGTTTGTGAAGCAGAATGAGCAGGAAGTGTAGTAAGGAAGGGTGTTAGCGTCTTAGTTTTACATAAAGAGTGGGCTAAAAGTTTTTTTTATTGATTGGTGGTTGGTTGAATAAATGAATGAGAGAATTGGCCAAGGAGGTTTAAAACAACTTCTTAGCTGTCTTGCACCTCGAAGTCGCCATCGAAGTATTCGTCGGTTTCGTGCAGAATGAAGTGATCAAATCGGCTAGAAATCGGGCCAAATGTTGGGAAAAAGACTCGTCGTGGATTGAGCCGTTAAGAAGGAATGAACACTCGGAGCAGTTGGCTAAATTGATGTCAAAGTCGATGTGGACATAGAGGTTAGGGGGAACCGGGTGGGTGCAGATGTTAATGATGAGTCGTTGTCATCTTCAAACGGGAACACTTCGTCCTCTATGTCCATTGGCTCAGTTACTCCTGATCTGGAATTCGGCGAGCTAAGTGACATTGGGGTCTTCCAGATCTTCAAGAAACTTATCGTAGTCAATATCATTGGAGTGTAAGAAGACTGTTTGGGGCATGTAACTGTTCAGGAATCCAACGAATAGACTGATGGTTAAGTCGCCACGGATGATGTAGTCATCAAAAACGCCTTCGATGTATTGTGCGCAGTTATAAAGGGTAATTGATTTGGTAAAGGGTAACACCACGGACCGAAAAAAGGCGTCCTCAAGTTTGCTGAACTCGAAAAAATTTGAAATCCCTGTAGTTCTTCCAAATTGGCGAGGGTATGGTCTAAATACCATTATAACAATTTATTAAAAATAGTTTAATTGAGTGACGTTAAATTTACACCAACGGTGTCTAATTGGCTAGTAAAGGCGTTAACAATCCTGTAGTAGGCTAAGTTGTTCCTGTGTACAGTAGTAGTTTGCCTAGCGTGGAAACCAGTGCAGTAAAGGTTTAACTTTGATTAGTTTGGTATTTAACAGTAGCGCATCAATTGATGTGAGGTCCCACTTAATTTTGCAATCGTTTTTTGATATCGTGAATTATAATTTCTTCAATAGCTAGGGTATTGATAATTAACATTGAAAAACCAGCTGCCGAAGTTAAACTCGTATCCTAAGCCGTTAGTAGGATCGGAATGATAGTCATTGCACCCCAGTTTTTTTGTAGAGTCTCAATTTGTGACAGTGCATAATTCATTCTGTTTGAAAACTGATGAGGTGATTCTTTCACAAGTGCTTACTTTTGAGTTGGAGAATCCAAAAAGGAGAAGAATTCGAAGAACATAGCTGTCTTGATACTTTTGTCTCGGTACAAATGTATTCATACTAATAGCATTATTATATATTAAAATAAAAATAGCATTGGTAGAAAATGCAGAAAGGGGAATCATGCTTTTGTGATATTCTCAGC